AACGGTAAGATCCAGTCGGCTATCTGGAATTATTGCGAGGCGTTTCCCGACTGAAAATTAATTTCCATTTGTCGCGTCTGAGCCACACGCCATCCTTGCAGCGTATTGCGCTGGAGAGATTTTCGGTTCTCCGACGGACAAGGATTTCTTAGGATTTTCCAGCGAAGAAACGCGCGTCAAACGCGCGCGCCGGAGCGACCGCAGGAGAAATCCTCCCGCGGCGGCTCGCCGACAAAAGTTTGTCGTTCCACTAATGACTCCACTACGACAAGATCTCGGGATCTGGATCGCGCGCGGTTACCTTTTTCCTCGCCTCCGGTAACGGCATAATCTATTTCTATCTGGGATCTCCGGCGCGCAATCTACAAACTTTTGCGTGTCGGCCGCCTTTGCCGTGTCTCACGACGTGGCGTCTCGCGAAGAAACGTACACTTTTAGTGGATCGTAACAGAACTTTAGTGGACCGTAAATCCCGGCGACATTTCCAATTATGTCGGTTTTCGCGCAGGGTTCCCGCGGCTACCACCTACCCGTGTCCCTACGTACGTTTTGGAGCGTGTCCCTACGTACCGTGAGAGATAATCCCCGTTTCGAGTGCTTCCTCCCTCTCGGCGACTTTTATCCGCGGCGACTCGTCCGGCGAAACTTGATCGCTGCAGAGACCAATGACTCGTGGCGATGAGATCAGAGAAAAATACGAATATACCGGGTCAGTTACGTCCGATTGGAAGACTTGGAGGAGGAAGCTTGGATGAGGACTCTCTCTCTCTTTACGCGCTCTTTCGTGTCGCTTTTAATACGCCAGGCTCTCTGTCTCTACACGTGTTCTCGACTAAAAAATTTCGGTTCCCTTTGTTCTTGCTCATTTAGCCGTTAATCTGTACGAGATTGTTTAATATTGGCTCACCATATATATATATATATATATATATATATATATAATTCTACCTGCAATTCAGTAAGTTACACGCGATTAAACGTCGCTCGTCATAAATAAAGATGAAGCGCGGGTAAAACAGCCCGAGGAAATAAAATACTAAACAATTCTACGACAGGTTCTTCCGCAAGCTCAACTTGAGGAAAAAGACGGCAAATCGTCATTAGCAGTATCGATGTAGGACAATAACCTGTTTATCGTCGTACCTCGAAATTCCTCGCCGCAAGCTCGGACTTTCAGGGATTTTCAGAGGTTAACGTGGAACTGAAATCTCTCGATATCTCCGGGTGTACGCTCGCGCGAGCGCGAGCGCGTGCACGAAGAAGAAAACGAAGAGAGGGAAAGAAAACGAAAACACCAGTCAGAAAGCTAGACGGGCAATATCCGCCTCCTCCGAGGCCCTTCGTACCATTGGCCGTGACTACGCAATAAATCGGAGCCATTCAGTCTAATGATTAATTAAATATAATGACTGCACCGGCCGTGACTGATGAGCCGGCTAAGACAATATCCGCCTTGTGTCGGTGAGCCGCAAACCGAATGCGGACGTAGACGTATGACCGCGCCCGCAACATTGTGATCGTTTGAAATCGCGCGTATATCATGTGCCAGGTGTCGTTCGCGTTTCGAAGATATATGAGTATCACCGCGTACGTGTGCGCGTGTACCGCGTTTATACAAGCCGTTTTTCCTCGTCGTTTCGCTTAGAATATATATATCGCGATATTAACAACTACCATAAAGGTGAGCAGCGAAATAGCAGCGAAATGGGGCCGCGAGCGCGGGCTGCGAAAATCGCCGCGCGAAAGCGCCTCGGTGTGTGCGTAAGCGCAGATAGAGAGAGAGAGAGAGAGAGAGAGAGAGAGAGAGAGAGAGAGAGAGAGAGAGAGAGAGAGAGAGAGAGGGGGGCAGATAATGGGGAAAAAGAAATGTAGCTTCGTGCTGATGCGGCCAGCGAGTTCATAAGCCCGCTCGCGCGCGTATGCGCATAGATTTGTCTTCGCTCGATGTCCCGCGCTGTTAGTAAGCGACAGAAGGTGGATGGAAAGCATCATTCAGTTGTCCGTGTGCCTCCTAAGTGCAGCGAGAAGGAAAGAGAGAGAGAGAGAGAGAGAGAGAGAGAGAGAGAGAGAGAAAGAGGCGCGAGAGAGTCCAGCTTTATGGTAGTTATTAATATCAAATAGTCAGCCACCGTGCCCATTATGGACATAATGGGACACCATTTTTTGCCGCGACAATGAGGCACCCCGTTAAAACGCTCGATGTATTTGCATTATTTATGCGGATGATTAAGCCCCCCGTGTAATATATTCGACACGGCATGGTGCGAGGGCCGGGCGAGGGGAGGGGGTGGGTGGACGAGCAACGTTAAACAAAAGTCGTGTAAAAGTAGCGAGCGTGCGAGCGAGCGCGCGCACTTTATCCGACGCACCGAAATGCGGAGATTTATGAAAGGTTAGATTACGCCGGTACACGCTCGCCGATACAAGACGAAATCGAGTTCCGCCTGCGGTTAGTTAGGTAGCCGGCGATTTTTTCGTCCGGAGCAAAAGGGAAAAGCGCGAATCATAGCAGCGTCGTATATCAAAGCTGACGTAGTACTTCAAAGGATACGCGCGCGCGCGCGCGCGTGTCCTGCCTTCTCGTTGGATTAATTAATATTCTACGCGATGTGAAATACTTCTATACCGTTAACTACCGGTCCCGCGCATTTTATCCTCGCTGCTTGCCCGCGTGCGCGCGGTATATTATAAATCAACATGACAATCGTCTTACCTCTCTCGGTACTTCCAGGATATATAATCGAATGTATCCTGCGGTAAGCACTGTGTATTAATAGCGCGGCAACTTTGTTGCCGCGCATGACACGCCGACACGTACGCGTTGGACGAGGCAGCGCGTGTATAATTAGAAAACGCGGGCGTCTACTGCCCGCTAATTAGTTCAAGGGAGCGTAAAACCGACGAGCGCGGCCCGGCATTTTACGCGCGTCCATTCTACCCGGCGAATTAATTGTCGCTTATTCTCCGATAAAATTCGGATTATTCCCATTACAGCAGAAATCGCGAGAACTCTATACCCGAGGCATAAGCAGGTGCTCGCACGTATCTCGCTAATGACGCGTATCGCTAATTAATTTCCGTAACCGGTTCTCGGGTTTGCGTTTTTCCCGTGTCTACTGGCGGCCGGTCATTCGTTATCCCAGATTATCAGACGCGAAAGACATCAAACTTGACCGAGCGGCCAAGCTACAGGAGACCATTTTGTACTATTCCAGGTTCCCCCGCCCCCCTTCCCCCGCAATAATACTCACTAGACCGGCCCTTATCAATTTAGGGTGCGACCTGATTGATTAGATCTTTTCTTCGTCTGACTGCGCCAATTTGCATCGTGTGCGACTTGGCAATCCTCAGATGAAACGAATACGTATTCGACATCTAGCGGAAGAAAGAGGAAACTCGAGGGATTATTTACAAGACACTTCGAAAAGTGTGGCTACGAGAAGGAGAGGCCTATTTTCTAACAAAAACAGAAGAACCTGGAGTCTCGAGAGGCTGCCTGTCCAGATCAATTTCTACGGTCGGCAAAGTGTCGATCGTCGTTTGTCCCACGCGTGACAGGTAGCCGAAGCTTCTTTGACAGCTTCGACGCGAAATATACAATACAATTTTTCGTCCCCGCGGGACTTCGATACCTCATCTCTCGCGATGAGCGAGCCCTCGAAATATTAGCGATACGGCGTACAAATGTCCCGTAGTTACGTTCGAAATAACGTATACGCGTCGAGAGATAGGAGAGATAGCCGACACGCGCTGGAGAGGTCACAGTTCGCGGCAACGGCGACGCCCAGAGGTGGGTCCCCTTACGCTGGGCGTAAACCGTAAAGCCGATCCTGACTTGCGCCTTGGTGGGCACAACCGCCCATCTGGCCGTGCTAGATTGGCGCGTGCCTCGCCGGCCGGGTCTCCAATGATAATAAGTGATCCATCAGCACCAATGGTGCGCTGGTATCCACGAGGGAACGTTTGCCAGTGGCAGAGTCCGGGCCTACATCCGCACGGTAAAGCCACGCTTCGAGAAGGGAGAGAAGGCGGCGCCAACGAGACGCGGTGGGAGAAGCCGAAGAAGCCCATACGACGCAGCAGCATTGGATCGACAGAGACCGCGAAGAGACGAGAACGTGCGCGTTCCCCCGAGGAAGATGGAAGATCCGGGGCTCCGAAATCAGCCGAGTCGGCCCTCGAGTGCCGGCGAGTCCTTACTCAGTCCTGCTGTGAACGCAGCAAGGAGCACCACGGGTATTTCAGCTTTTCTGTTCCTCCGAGACGCCGACGACCGCCACGATGTTGGCGACGTCCCCGTAGACGTCGCTGACGTACTCACCGATACGTGCGCGAACGACACAAGCGGTGTTGACTTTTTGCGGAGCTGCGATCGTGTTGGACCTGTCGGCCGAGTTGTTGCACACGCTCGCGTATGGAACGAGTGTGCCTCGGGAGAGTACAAAAGTGCGCGGGACTCGCGCGCGCGCGCGCGCGCGCGGGGCTGATCATCGATCGAGAGGCTAGCCTATCGCATAGCGAATAGCCAAACGGCTCGGCCGAGTGTGATGCGTGATAAGAGAGACGCGGTCGTGTGATATATATCGTCGGACGATATACGTGAGCCTGCATGCCAGTCGCAACGCGATGAGACGCGATGCGTTATTGTGGAGTACTCGTAAATACTTGGACGAGGAACTCGGCGAAGGACTGTGCTGTGTATAAAACTGTTCGCAAGAGACCACTGAGTTCCAAAGCAAGTGCACACGAACCGTGGACTTAATAACGTGCGACGAGCACGCGCGTTTCGATCGCTTGAGCGGAAACTTTTGTCAGATCTCGATTATCCATGTTTTGTAGTATATATAGTTAACGCATATAGTATAGAGTATAGTATAAATACGTATAGTACACACACACACACACACACAAACACACACACACACACACGCACACGCAGACACACACATACACACACGCACACGCAGCACACACACACGCACACACGCACACACACGCACGCACATATAAAAAAAAAATATATATAAATATATAAAGAATTAGAGCTCGGTGATAATATCGCGTTCTCGCGTCGGCGCGACAACACGAGCCATTTCGCGATTGGCATCGTGATTTTTGTGATAATTCCCCGGAGTCAAGCCCGCGCTCATCACGATGAATGGTGGTTACCTCGATGGCGTGACACCTCATCCGCACCCGCTCAGCAACCTGGGCCTCAAACTGTCGCCCGGAGGCGGCGGCGTTACCGGAGGATCGAGCGACATCGGCGGCGGTATTCAACCGCCTCCGGACGAGACGTCCTCTCAACAGCACCATCATCACTTTCATCCCCAAACGTACCCGTCGCATCATCCACACGCAGCGACCCACGTGACCCCGCACATGAGTCACCACATGAGCCACCACCCGGGTTACGCGCGAGACTACCTCCTGCGAACACGGGATCACGAGTTTTCGACGGCGAGTCCCACCACCCCGGAGAGCGGCCTGGGTCTGTTCCCGCAGCTACACCATGAGAGCACCGCCGCGACGATGCAGCAGTTCTCGCACCATCCCAGTCAACATCCCCTGGCGGCCAGTCATTACGCCGCGCATTACCCGCAGGACTCGAGGCTACCGCCGCCCCAGTACCTCAGCGCGTCTCACCTGGCGCCGTCGTCGATTCACCACCAACAGCACCCGGTCGTCGGTCACCCACCTCATCATTCGAGTTTCATGAGATACATGAGGCCCGGCGGCGCCGGCGGCGGCGGCCCGATCAACGCCGTCGCCGTCGCCGGCGGCCAACGTCAAGACATGTCTTGCATGTGGATGGATCAGGACGGACCGGGCAAGAATATCTGCGGCAAGACCTTCAACAGCCTCCACGACATCGTGGCGCATCTCACGGTGGAACACGTGGGCGGACCCGAGTGTACGACGCACGCGTGCTACTGGCAGGGCTGCGCGCGTAACGGTAGGTCCTTCAAGGCCAAGTACAAGCTCGTCAATCACATAAGGGTGCACACCGGCGAGAAGCCCTTTCCTTGCCCGTACCAGGGATGCGGCAAAGTCTTCGCCCGGTCGGAGAATCTCAAGATACACAAGAGAACGCACACCGGTGAGTACCCGTCGCTTGACGACTGTTACTCTCGCTTCGTCCGCTTTCGCGAGAAACCGTGTTTCTCTTCTCTCTCTCTCTCTCTCTCTCTCTCTCTCTCTCTCTCATCCCTACGTGAGCGAAACTGCAGGCTCGCGCTACCACTCGTTCTTCGTCCGTCACCGAGCGACGACCGACACTGACGTCCGCGAACGTCGATATCGAGCGACAAGATCTAATTAGGCTCACGTATAGGTTTTATCCACGCGAGAAATCGGACGGACGTGGGGCGCGACTCCGTCCGTTCGCCGCGGCGTTCTCTCGGATTCCATCCTCGGGAATTTCTCGGATCCCATCAACGCGATCCCATCGTGATCTCGATGCCCGGGCTTTTGCCCTCTCCTCCTCCTCCTCCTCCTCCTCCTCCTCCTCCCCCCCGCCCCCTCTCCACCCGCTACCCGCCCAGTCTAGATCCGAATCAAAGCGCGGGCGCCCTTTCCACGAACCGATTCGTCTGGACGTCGGGAAGCGTATTAAAGCCCCTGTTTTCATCGTCTACCTCGCAAACCGTCAAATCGCATAAATTATATCCACGTAAACCGGCCGCCGCTTCGTCGCGTGAGTCACTCCCGGATCGCCGAAACGGCCGAGCGCGAGAATGATTAATTCGAGAGCGGCCACTTGCGCTCTCTCGCTCTCTCTCGCTCTCTCTCTCTCTCTCTCTCTCTCTCTCTCTCTCTCTCTCTCCGTCCGCCGAAGGTTACCGTCGCGCGCGGACAAAGCCGGGGAAAGTGAGCGCCCGCGTCGTGTCGCCCGTGCCTCCTCCTCGTTGGCGATCATCGCTTTCCTACCGAGAGGAATCGCCGATGGAGGTTACCGCTGAGGTCGCATAAATAACCACGGGGGCAGTTATTATCGCCGTGTCTCTACGCTCTTTATACCGGACTCCTCTTTCCTTTTGGTCTAGTTGTCTCATCCGTGGGGACGCCCCCGGCGCCTCCAGTCGTTTCAATATAATCAACCGGCTGTTTACGATGACAAGAATTTTTCGGGGCGCAATTAAGAAATTACCGGGCCATATATCGTGCCGTTTTATGCCCGCGGTCGCGGACATTGTATTTACATATTTATTCGACCAACGAGCATGCTCATTCGGCCGATCCGACGGCTAGACGTCTCCGACGACGTCTCCCTGCCGGGTCCGGGCGCGCGCTCTCGTGTTGGCGGATTCCTCCGTCTGAACTCACTAATATCGCCGTGTAATCTTATATATCGCTTTCTACTCTGCCCTCCTTCGCTCTAGCGAGTCACCTGTTTTCGTGTTCTTGTCGCGGTTATGCACAACCGCGATAATCACCGAGTGCAATACATGGACAGCGAACGAGACGGAGTGTTGTCAGAAGGCTTAATGCGATCGTCGGGCAATTAAAAGAACGCTTTTCATTAACACGAGATATCGTTCCCCCATCGCGTCATGATCGCTGAGGATCGTCAAAATGATAGAAAGAGAGAGAGAGAGAGAGAGAGAGAGAGAGAGAGAGAGAGAATCTCCTCGAGAAAGGCGGCCACGCCTTGGAGGGAAAAACGGTCAGAGGCGAGAAAGCAAAGTGTGACAATAATTCTATAAATATCGGAAGAGCGCGGCGAGAGAGACGGCGAGACGCGCGAGTGTCGCTGCAATTCTAACGTCAAATTTCATCCTTTAGTCGCGTCTGAAGCTGATAATCGTCTTTTTTTATGACTGTAACGTAGTCCCAGCAACTGAATTCACGAGCGGCATGAACGAAGCTGGAAATTTGCGCCTAACATTAGCGGAGACCGTCGTCCGTAGCGACGCGACGGGACTGAGACTATCCTCGGGATGTTTACGTCGTCGATAGTTACCTGAGTATCGGGAGTCCACTCAGCGATTGTAGATCAGAGTCTACAGGACTCCAAAGTTACTCGATTTTGCGCACGACGCAAATCATGGGATATCCCGATTTTCCGCGCGTTGCCTGCAGCGCCCAAAAATCGCCTATAGCGTCAGACGCATCAGCGCGTACAACCCGGCAATGTTTCACAGAGAAACTTGTAGCGGAGAGATCTATCGCATGCATACACACACACACACATACACAAACACACACAAACGTCCCCTTGTCGTAATCTAGGAACACGTGCCGGATATGTATATTATTTCGCGCTCGCCCACCCGCTCTTAATGACTTTTAATAATGAAATCGCACGCGGGGCTATGTACAGATACACGCATCCGAGGGCACCGACACCCGCAGGTGCTCGTATTTTCGTTCGCACGATGCGAATTCGCGCGCGCGCGCGCCGCTCATCGTCATAGCCACCCCGCGTGCGTCGGCGGGGCAGGGGCAGGGGGCCAGCAGTATATCACGTGTGATTAAATTTCGTTTTCATTTATAACAAACGCCACCCTTCCGACGCCATTGTAGAGAGCGCGAGCTCTCTTTCCCGTGGCGGCAGCCCCCCCTTGTCCCTCCTTGGGGTGTACGCTTGACAGTTTGGGACTCGCCCAGATCGACGCTGCTTGCCACCCTATGCGCGCGTTGAGATATGGTATATTGTTGCAGCAACTATTGTCCCCTTATAGAGCGGTTAAGGCCGCTTCGGAAGCGCGTGGATATTTATACGTTCGCTATAAATATTGATCGATATCGCGGGATGACTCGGTGTGTGTGTGTGTTGTCTGGAGAGACGCGAGAGCGGTCGTACAAGCAGAGAGACGAGGAATCCTCGTTAACGTGAACGTTAACCGATATCTCTCCCCTCCCCCCCTCCCCCGTACGTTCTGTCGCGATTGATGCATGTTGAATTCCGATTTTAGACGCGCCTCGAAGCGCGTTCCCGACTGGGATCTTACCCAACACGGACGCGAGATTTGTAACCGCTCGTTTCGACACGACGCGCGCTTGTGTCTCCGTGTGGGGGGAAAGACGGAGAGAGAAAGAAAGAGAGAGAGTGAGAGAGGAGGAAAGGTGCGTAAACTTGGTTGAAAACGATCAGAGGCCAGCGGGTAACGGGAGATGAATTAAAAAAATTCACTTCTGCTCGCCTACGACGCCGCGCGACCCTCGTTGAAATAAATTGGCGTTTTCGAGAAATGATCCTCGATCCACGCACGGCTTCACACGCATTGTTTTCGCGCGCATTCACACACACGCGCGCGCGCGCGTCTCTTTACTTACGCCTCTTTGCAGCCGCTCTGCGCTCTGCGTGCCTCTCTTTCATGCCGTCGCGAATACGCAAATACGATTTGGCAGCGGCATTCTGTTCCGCTCTTAGCAAGTGGCACGGGTAAATATTTTCCTCGGCGCGTATGTCCCGCTCGGCAATCGCGCCATTCAAACGCGCGCGCGAGGCAGATTTGAACGGGCGAACGCGTCTATTCCTACTTTCCGTTTGTGTGTTTACGTCGGTCGCCCCGCGCAGCGGCTTCCTTCGGCCGCCGAGAGCGCTCGTCTCGTCAGATCTGCCCTTCGATCTCGATCCGGGTGTCTCAGCAACTTTGCAACCGCACAGCCGGATTCACACGTTGTTGTTCCGCGAACAACGCGATCTTGCGGCACGCAATGGAGCGATTTTTGCAGCGCCGCCGTCTCAGATTACACCGCGATATTATGTTATCGTAATGGCGCTTTGACACCCTCCCCCTGCCCCGACGTAAGGGATCGCAAGCGCAAATAGTCAAGCACGGGACTTGATGACGCTGCGTTTAACGATGATCGATGGAACGCCGCGGCCATTAGCATAGAAATGATTTCGAGTCGCGGCGTCCGCGTCGAAACGCCAGCGCGCAGCCGTATAGCTACCACAACGCGGCGGACTGATGTGGACTAAATTATCGTCGTATGCGCCGAGGTCTCTTCGCGAGCGAGCACGACATAAAGAGCGAATCGCAGGCTAACTGTTAACCGGTCGCAATCTGCTCGAGCCGAACGATCGGGAAAATAAAGCAGCCACGCTCTCTCTCTCTCTCTCTCTCTCTCTCTCTGTCTCTCTCTGTCTCCCTGTCTCTCTGTCTCCCTCTCTCTCTCTCTCTCTCTCTCTCTCTCTCTCATTGACTCTGTCATTCACTACTCCCGAGCGGTGCTCTCCACATCGGAAAAGATCGGTCCTATTAATCCGCAGATGCGCGGAAGAACCAGCGGAGCCCGACGCGTTTGTCATTAGACCAAATTGATATGCATTTTAAAGCAGCTTACTCCTTCTCCTCCTGCTGCTCTGCGCTTTCTGCCCTTCTCCCTGGCCCGCGGCGGCAAAAAGATGCGAAGAATAGTCTGTTATGCGTCAAGCCGATCTCGCGTGTGCGTGGAACGAGCAGCGACGATTGGCTCGATCGACAATGGATCCACCACGGCTTGTACGGTATTGGTCAGGATTTTTCGAGGGTTAGACGCGGAGAATAGGGGGATGATACGGGATGAGTCGCCGAGGGGTGTTGTAGAATAAGCGTTAAGTAGGGGACGAGCGTGTCGAAGAGGGGCCATACGCGACGCGCAGGCGAGTAAATGGCTACTTTTACTCAGGCTGCTACGAGAAAGAAAGGAAGAGAGAAAAAAAGCAGAGAGAGAGAGAGAGAGAGAGAGAGAGAGAGAAAGAGAAATAGAGTATGCTCGATACCGGTTCCGCTAAACCCTTAATTGTCGCACGGTGACGATAAACGCGGCGCGAAATGCCGTTCGCTCCGCGTCGCTCTCGCCGATTTCTTCGGCCGTTTTCCCCCGCGATTTTCCCGTCGATTTTCCCGTCGTTGCAATCGCCAGATACACAACACAGCGGCCTATACACCGTGTATCCTTCCCCTTCTCGGAGCAACGACATCGCCGCTACCACTATTTTGTCGGAAGTCACGGAGCCCTCCAGAAACGACTCCGCAGCAGGAGTTACCGTTTCTACGACCGATCCGGAGGGCCGATCGTGCCGCGCCGTGAGTTGCCGCCGGCGTAAAGGCAATTACTCTCGACGGAGGCCGGTGTACTCGGTATTTTTACGTCGTTGATACGCGA